AATAAATATTTTGTTTTGATGTATAAGTTGTTCGGGATTTTTCATCTAAACATTAATTTCTTGACAACCTAATAGTTACTAAATCGAAAAATAGAATTTCATTGATAATTGACAAGTCAACTTCTTTTAGTAAAAAAACTACCTTAACAGTGTACGTTCCAATCTGAATTACAGATAAGAAAATTAACTCGCTGGTAAATTTATTTCTGTACATGATTGAACTTGAAAATGTTACTGCAAAACAAATTTTTGATTCTTTACTCGATTATCTTCAGTCTTATGGAATAAATCAAGATTACCTGAAAAGTTATTTACTTTGTGTGGCATGTGATGGTGCAACTATGATATTGGGGGTAAAAGTGGAGTTAAAAACTGATGACAGACAAATTTATTTTTGTAATTGTGTGGCACTGTAAAATCAGTCTTATGGATCAACAGATTTAAAGAGTTTATTGATAATTTTTAAGTATTGTATCACTCGTCGCCTAAAAATAGCAGAGAACTGAAAGTGTGCGTGAACTTGCTGGAGATTCAACTTTTAAAAATTGGCTGAATTTTAAGCATTTGATGGGTGGCATCTAGTTTCCAGTCAGTTTCAGCTGTTTGGGAAAACTATGAAGCGTTAGTGCAACACTTCAAAGGAGCGAAGCATGATTCAAGAAGAGACAAAAAAGAGCAATGTGTGTATATGAAGTCTTACAGCAAAAATCTACAAGTACAGAATTTCTATTAAATCTAGGATTGATGTGTGATGGTCTCAGGAAACTATCCGATTGAGTTTGGACTTACAAGGGCAAGATATAGACTTGTAGAAGGCAGATCAAAAGATAAAAGCTCTCGTACAACTTTTTGAAGAAAGACCGATGATTCCAGGCCAATAAAAATGCCATTGAAGCCACCAAAAAACTTCACTTCCAGGAGTTTCACTTTACAACAAAGATTGCAAAAAGGATCTCCGATTAATCCCGAAGCTTTTTACAGAATCTTGAAAAATCAATCACAAGGAGGTTACTTGCTAGTGAAGATGGCAATATAGCACAGTATGCACATGTGCTTGATAAAAAACATTGGCCTGAAAACGCTGATGCTCATTTAACATTCAGCAAGATAAGGGCCAGAAAATTATCAATAACACTTCAGCTAAATGAAAGAGTTATGATTCGTGGACTTCATCAGTATTTGATTGAAAAGATGGTTCCGGAAAAATTGCAGCATTTGAAGCACGCTCCAAGTACTATTCCCATTTTTCCCAGTGAATGTGAACAAGGGTTTTCACAAATGAATTTGACTGTCATCCCAACCAGAGCTTTGTTGATGACAAAAACAATTTGGGCACTTTTGTTTATTAAACTTGTTGGACTGTCCCTTCCACACGTTGACCTAAAAATATACATAGAGCTATGGTTGCTTCAAAACCATCACTCAGCAGTAGACAACAAATGCAAGGAACAAAGTTGAGATATTGCGTCAGATGAGAACATGATGAAAATATGGAATTTTCTATAAAAAGGATATTTTCATCTCATAATTTTTTACATATATGAGTACTAGCAACTTTATTTTTTACAAAAAAAGCATTGGGTCCATCCACACAAGCTCACATAAAATCCCTGATTATGGGTATACCTACAGGGAGTGAGAAATACACACTGAAAAACTTACCACAGAGCTCCTTGAAGAAAGAACAATACCTAACCCATAAGATTATGCGGAGGTGCAGTAACAGGTGGAAAGTACCATAGAAGGACAATTTTCAATAGTAGTTATATCCCTCTTCACAAAATATTGTAACGTGAACAGCAAAAATCGTCAGCTGAACGTAAGATACAAACTCCCCACAAACTAAAGCCTGTGCTACCCCAGCAGACACCGCTGACCCTGAGACTAGTATTCTAATTATGGCAGGAATTTCATCATCCACCATATTAAATCTTGAATTCATAAGAACAAAGTAGAATTCGGAAACAGAAATATTTATAAAACAAACGAGTAGAAACAACTGAAATCAAACAAAAGAAATCAAAATTTGAAGTTGAAACTCATGTAAATTTGTGATCAAGCACAATCAAACTTATGAAATTAGTGAGGAATTTTACAATGAGATTAAGATTTCAGCTGTTAATGTTTATTGGCCAAGGAACATACTAGAAATAATGCTATTTTTGATTTATTTTTAACTTCTAATATAGAAATGGTTGGAAGGGTGGAAACTGGGGAACATCTGGGTGCAAGCTGCATATGGAGATTAGGAATAATGATATTTTGGTTACAAATTTCAAAAACATTTTGAAGGGATGAGACAAGGAATATCTGTTGTGAATTGATCAGCCAAGTTACTAGGAGACACTGATAAAATGTAGAAAATTTTTAAAGATAGATTTATTAAATATTCAAGATAAACATATTTCTTATAGAAAAAAAAAGGTGACTGCAAGTAAAAAACCAGGTTGGCTTACAAAAGATAAAATTAAAGAAAAATATCACAAGTTTAAGAAATTTAAACTGACTGGTATGATGGAAGATTTAGAAGATTACTGAAGATCAAGAAAGTTGGTCAAAGAGAAAATTAGGACATCAAAAACGATGTATGAAAAGTATTGACTGAAAATGTAAAATTAACAGTGAGAATTAAATACATTAAGGGTAAACAAAATAGGATGAGGGTTAAATTGGGACTATTGAAGATGATATAGGAAGACTCGTAGCTGATGATTATAAGATGGCTGGGTTATTAAATTCTGCTTTTTCTTCAGTTTTTACTGATGAAGGTTTAAGCCATATTCCTCATTTGGAACAGTTGATAGATGGGAACAAAGATCGTACAAGATGATAACATAATTATGAGACTGTTTAGAAAATAACAGGGAAGTTTAAAGAACAATAAAGCTCCTGGGCCAGAAAATATTTCCCCAAGGGTTGGATATGTGAGCCTTACAACTCTTCTGACATTCTTTGAAAAGGTTACCGCTTATGTAGATGATGGTAAGGATGTAGATTTGGTGTATATGGATTTTCAGAAAGAATTTTACAAGGTGCCACATAAAAGGCTTGTAAAATAAATATCTCTATAGGTGTGGGGATAAGTTAGCTAATTGGATAGAAGAGTAGCTGGATGGAAGAAGGCAGAGGGTTTTTACAAATGGACTTTAGTCAAACAAGATTAATGCCACAAGTGGGGTACCTCAGGGCTCAGTCTTAGGGTCTTTGTTCTTTTTGATTTACATCAATGACATAGATGAAGGAATGATCAATAAATTAACTAAATTGGTCTTGGATGTTGCTGGATGTGAGAAGAAGTATGCTGTTTTACAAAAGGATTTAGATCATTTAGTGAGTTGGGTGAATAAATGGCAGATGGGTTTTAATTATAATAAATGCAAGATAATACATGTGGGTTATTATAATTTGAATTATAAGTATAGTTTGGATGGGAATAACCTTAGCAGTATCATGAAAGGAAGGGATCTTGGTGTAGTGCCTGATCAGTCCCTTAAGCCATCCAATCAGTGTGCAGTTGCTAGTGGTAAGGCAAATAGGATATTAGGTTGTATCTACAGAAATACTGAATATATAAGTCTAAAAAAGTTATGATTTCATTGTATAGGTCACTGGTTAGGCCACATTTGGAAGATTGTGTTCAGTCTTGGGCTCTTTACTTTAGGAATGGCATTGAAATGTTGAAAAGGGTTCAGAGGGGGTTACTGGAATGGTGCCTGGGATGGAGAGGTTACCATATGAGGAGAGGTTAAGATCTCTCAATCTGTTTTCTCTTAAAAAAAGAAGAGTTAGAGGGGATCTGATTTAGGTGTTTCAGATTAAGAAAATTGATAGTGTTGATGCATCATCTTTTTTTCATACTTAATGGTGAGAATAGTAGGACTAGGGGACAGAAACAAAAATTTTGGCAGTGTGTAGAAGTCATCTTCAGGTAAGACAGTTTTATTTTTCTAACAGGGTGATTGTCCTTTGGAAGTTGTGAAGACAGTAAATGTGAGTTTTAGAGAATGTTTGATAACTATATGTATGATAAGAGTTGGCTTTGAGATTTTTATTTTTCTTAATAGTTTTAGATTAGTTCAGAGGATGTGACAGCCTAGATGGACCAATAGGGTCCCTTGTTGTCCCTAAACATTATTTTATATTTAGAATCAGATTATTCTAATATGATTGGTAGAAAAAAAAGGTTCAGAATAATAATTATAATATTACGATTCCAGCTTTGGTTAACTATAAGCTTGTAGAATGGTTAGTTTGATAATTCTGGTATGTGCAATCACCTTAATTATTTATAACATTAATCTTTTTCATTGAACAACAGTAAATTAAAAGACTTCCTTGTTTTTTTTAAACTCAAACACAACATAAAACTAAATTCACCTTTCAAGTTGATTGCTTGTTTTTTTGGTTTTTCTGGAAAAATGCAGACATTTCTTTCAAACTTCAAGTCATGATAATCGATACTGAAAAAAATGATGAAACATTTAACAATCACAAAGCTCAGGTTTTATTTTGAAGAATAATCCCAATAAGTGTACAAACATTGTAAACTTTGATCAATGGCATGCAAAAAATGGGGTTTATGTCCATTTTAGTTTGAAATGATTCAATAGAACTTTTACTCAACTTTCTTACATACATTCTGTATTGATAAGAAGTTTTATCCTTAGCTATCTCAATATGGGCTTGGTCAATTTGACCAACCATGTGATGTCTTTATACTCATTTAAAGTCTTCATATATTTGATACAACTAACTTTTAATATAGTGTGCATATTTTCATAAAATTTGGCAGTCTTTCAGTAAACATTATAAGTCCTATAAATCATATTTTTAATGAAGTATTTTTTATAAACTGAAAAAAGATTTGTCCGTGAATATATCGAGTATCTGTTTTGAATAGTCTGTGTGTCAAGCGATTTTCATGTTAAGATTAAAAATACTTTTCTTCATTACAACTTCCATTTGTGTAATCTATAAGGCCTTGTAAATACATTTCAAATGCTTGTTTTCAGCAAAACTTTATATTTTATTTTCTTTACCCTAACTCCATACAAAGTTGATCAATTTCAACAACCTCGTAAGCACCAAAAAAAAAATCTAAATAAATCTAAATTACCCTTTTTTCTTTCTATAATGACTTTAAATTGTAACATGAAACTACATTTGTTTATCCTAAGTAGCTTTAAACTTGTAACAGTATACATCTATTTATTATTAAATTTCATTGTTTTATTGCCCTGTGAACCATGTTTAACTACTATTCGTAGTTGTAAATCACTTGGAGAACGTGCAGCTCACGTTATGCTATTGAATTATGTTACCGACGAGCTGTTCATGTGCATGCCTTGTGAAACATTTTTATTATATCATATTATTATATATTTTACCTAATCTAACTTTAACTAACCTAAAGAGATCCCTATTTTACATTTTAATTAATTTTATAATGATAAATAAAGAATAAACATGAAAAACCAGAAATAAAGTACATACCTATGTCTTCTTTTTTAATCCTACATTTAATCCTACTTTTTTATACTAATGGTAGTAATGCATAAAATACTTTTTATTTAATTACATAATGCAGCAAAGAACATAGAATAATAACATGCAAAAAGCAGACGATTTCCTCTAACTCTCACAATTATTCTGGCAATTCGACAAGAGCCATTACAAATTCATCTAAGCTTGTCTTTTTATTTCCTATGAGAATGAAGCTTGTACCAAAAAGAGAAATTGACAATTCTCTGTTCAGAACATAATGTAATATAATGTTTCATTTGAGAGATGAAAACCTTGGCTTTCTATTGGTTATAGACAATATAGAATTAAACATAAGAGAGAACTATTAAGAAATCCTGAAAAAGAAGATGTGACTGGTGGGTGTAGCAAAAGGGGTCTGTAACCAAATAAAATTGAAAGCTATAAAAATTATGGTTTTCTGAGCAATGAAGATTTTATAGTGAGCAATTTGCATTTAATTTGGTACTTATTGGAGGGGTGGTGAATAAAATAGAGAAGATAGGATACCTACAGAAAATGTGTCACTTTTCTCACACTAGGGGAAATTCATGATTTTTTAAATATTGCCTTAGAAAATTAGGAACTTAAAACATTTATAGTATTAAAATATGGATTATTAGCTAAAATTTTATGCTGTTCTAATTGGTATAACATAAAAAAAAGTACTTTAAATGATGCCTGGGCAGATAGAGTTAAAGCATCATCTCTTAATCTGCAAAGTGTTGACAATATTTTTATATATTAACAAAGTTTATTGTTCATGTGGTTTTACCACACTTATACTAACACAACTTTGAAAGCATAATTGTTTTTACCTTTTTGTGTCAACTTCAAACCCAACCACTCTGAAAGTTACACTAAAAGAGAATAAATATTATAAAATAAAAATAAAATTTATGTAAACTGGAATGTTCTGTATATAAGACGATTCTAACCACAACAAAAGTAGTGAAATTAGGATATTTATTTATTTATGAAGATTGAATAACACAGTATTTGAAATTTTATTTCTAATTCACATCACAGCATTTCTACTTATGTAACAAAGAGTGACAACATAAGGTTGAAAAACATTAGGATCAAAATTTTTACAATAAATATTTTTTTCTTTCAAATATATATTTTAAAACCAAAGTTCCTGTTTTCTAGATATTTTATACAAGAACAATGGAGATAACTAATTTCTTTTCATATAATGGATGATTTCAAGATTAAAGTTATAAAAATAGATCAGAAGACAACGACTTGCTGTAAAAGCATAGGCAATATACAAAAATAACTCACCCATCTTCAGTGTGATACTTCAGGACTAGTTTCAAATGATTATTAATATATGGCTGGAAAAGTAAAATATCCTGATAAATATCAGACAAATTATATATGCTCAAAATAGATTGTTCAAAGTTATTTCCTAGAGTAAAAACAGATTCAATATTTTCTTATGTTACCAATGAATAATAATATTTATTGCGAAAAAGTATAAAATAATTTCTATATTTCCTATCGAGTAAACTACTTTTCATGTAAATGTGTATAAAAAACACTGAAGGTTTGAAATAAAAAAAAACACAAATAAATCAAATAAAAACTGTGTACATATTAAAAATTTTACAGTTTTAGATCAATATATTTCATACTTACTATTCCATTTTCCATAAAACCTAGTTGGTAGCCATGTTCATATTGTGGTTGATTTGTATCTAGCAATTCAAACCTTGTTGCACATGGAAGGTTATCAACAATGCTAAAACATGAAATAAATCTTAAAATTTTGCAAATGATGTTTTAGAATATACAAAATTTCTATCTAAAGCAAGTCAAGTTATGGTCAAACTGTCTGGACATTAGCTACTACTTAATAACTAATTGTTACTATTTATAATAATAACTTTTCAAGTGTATGGGTTGATATATGTGAAAATAAAAAACTCAGTAAAAAGTTTCATCTTAAAGGAAGTCATTAGTAGAACCTACTACAGCCACGGTGTTATAATTTTCCTATACTGAAAATGTATTTCCGATAGGTACTGACCCCCTCTCACAAGATTAGCTATTTTTGTTCAGTGCTGCCCTCTATATGCAAACTTATCTTTACGCATGCCACAACTCTTTCACTACCCCACTAAACATGTTCCAACATGTCTCTCATATAAATCATCCTGTGGCATCTCTTAACCAATAGTAGTATGACATGCTCACGTGATGCATGAGACTGCCTCTACACTCCTCTACCAAACCTTCACTTTGAAGCTTGACAGCAGGTGTGAGCACTGGAGAAGTAGGGAGAAAGGGTGGGAAGTGTGAGAGGAGGTAAGTACATATCAGGAATACATTTTCAGTATAGGAAAATTATAACTTCCGATACGGTACTTACCTACTCTTAGAAGAACGAAAGAAGTACCCTCGAAAGCATACGAAGGATACCCCTGACAATGAGAGAGATAGATCCAAAGATCAGAAGAGTGGAACCACTTATGAGCCATGTATACTCTTCACCCACGTGTGGAATATGTATGACATAAGGGCAAAAAATTAAAAGGTGTAGAGTGGCTAGGGTGCAGCAGACTGTACTCGATAAGTCAACTACATCCAAAACTACCTCCTTGTGGGAAACAAAATCGACATGAAGGTAGGATGAGGATCATCGCTGATCTATTAAACCAGGAATTGACATCCAGTATTGAAAGAATGTCAATTACATGGAATCAATTCATGTGAGGACATATTGTGATTGGTTCACTCTAATCTAAAACCTCTTAGTAGGGTGCTGACTACAGCCACAAGGGGTGAACTGCAATTTTGATGGCTCAACCCCAGTGGTTATGTAAATGATATCAGGAGGCCATGTTATCCAGTAAGGAGAAAGTTCAACTTCCATGGTTGTGTAAATGGTATCAGGTGGCCACATCATTCAATAAGGTGATGGCTTAACTCCCGTGAATGTGGAATTCGTATCAGGAGGCCACATCATCCAGTAAGGTGATGACTCAACTCCTGTGTTTGTGCAAATATAATCAGGAAGCTACATCATGCAGTAAGGCGATGGCTCAACTCCTGTGTTTGTGTAAATGTAATCAGGAGGCCATGTCATCCCATAAGGTGATGGCTCAGCTCCAGTGTTTGTGTAAATGTAATCAGGAGGCCATGTCATCCCATAAGGTGATGGCTCGACTCCAGTAGTTGTGTAAATGGTGTCAGGAGGTCACATCACACAGTAAGGCGATGGCATGAATCTAGTGGTTGTGTAAATGGTATCACGAGGCAACATCTCATCTACACCAGCAGAACACCACCACCCTACTCTCAACTGAATGGTTCTATCTTATTCTTTGTGGAACTCAATCAAGATCAGGAAGTTGCCTCCATGGTCAACCACCCAAGTGGCTTGGAACTGGAAAGCGGTAACGGCTCCCATACTACACTTGAGGAAAGGAGGGTGACATCGTGGTGGACAGTCTGGAGGAACATCATCACTGGAGACAGTGCAATGGGTGATCATGAAACTTTATTTTGAAAAGCAGACCATACCGAATTGTTCACTCAGGGCATGACAGGGATAGGCAGCAATACTCTTCTGCTTTACCCATGGGTAGTAGAGTCTGGAACAGGCATTTTTATGAAGCAAAATATTCTGAGGTTATTCACCATCAAGCGATCTTGTGGAACACCACATCTCGACAGTGAGCATGCAGAGCCATGGAACATAACTGGATAACGAATCCTTCTGATAGAACCCGTATTACCCATTGATCGTCTACAAAGAGATGCCAGAAACTCTAATAGTCAAGCTCCAACAGGTAGTCACCAGTACTGTTGGTGATGGGGGGTTGCATCATCGAGGAAATCAACGAGAAGTACCCCGATTAAAAGAAATGGGTTAGTTTTGGAAGGATGAAGGATAGGAAACGGGAATAGGTGGCATATGAGGCTCTGACTGAGACAAATGGGCTACAAAAGTTGTATGAGTTGTTTGCTGGCAGACCAATGTCACCTGAGGCTCGATAGTTTCTGGGACTGTATCAAAGACATAACGTCTCAGAAAAGTTGCAAGACATAAATCCCTGAAATACATTGAGGGTAAATTGCACCGAGCCAAAACTTTGTCTTGACCTATAAGGTCCCAACAACAAAAAAACATGTCTGTAACGACAGAGCCAAAGAAGAAATGTGGGCTAAAGTGGAGGAGAGAAGTGTAAAGGTATCTGCGGAAAATCCCTCAGGATTTCTGTGGAGTCTCTGACAGGATATGTATGGAAGAAAAATACTGTAAGAGGTTGGTTATGGTAAGACGTAGGCTAGAATATTGGGCATGGGTAAGATTAACATTAGATTCAGGAGCCACCCCCTAAATAGGTAATAATGAATCTAACAACTGCTGATCTTAAAAAGGATAGTTTGCACTGCATGATGGTAAGAAAGGGCAAACTGATCAGAAGTCCTCAGGGGGTGCAGCATGCTGATCCCCTTACTTAATTGTGAGACAAATTGATCCGCATATATCCATATTTTAGGGTAGGGAAGTAAAACCAAAACTAGTTTGGAAAGAAGGACAAGGGGAAAGTGACAAAACATCACAAACCTGAGACCTAAAATCCATAAAGACCAAATTAGGCTTAGATGATTCTTCAGGCTATAAATGGGAAGGAACAGCATATTCAGGAGGTGTAAAAGACGATCGTTCCAAGTCATTCTGAACAAGATCAGCCGATGCAGGAGGAGCCTGGGCATGTCAGGTGACAAAGGTTGACCCATATAGTGCTCAATTTCCAGAGGTATAAAAGCAGAGAGATCCACTGTCAGGTCGCCCTCACCTGAGGCCTAAGAAAAAGCATTGGTCGTTGGTGTGACCCCGAAAATGGTAACATGAACTTCAGAATTCATAGCACAAGAACAGGTTCCCAAATGTCAAGTGCAGAAATAGTGCAACAAGGAGAAACTGGTATAAAATAAAATAAAGTCAAAAGGAACCACTTTGTGTGAAAAAAAAAAACTTGGTTGTCCCACTGGAAGCACTAGGCATACAAAAGACTACATCTTAACTCAATGCTGCTAAACGAGAAGTAAAGGTTCGGTAGGGGAGTATAGAGGGAGTTACATGTGCATATCATGCTACTATTTGTTAAAAAATGACGCATGAAGATTTACACGAGAGACATGCTGGAATATAATAATTCTAACAAGAGGGGGAGCGGAAGGCTTGTGGCATGCATAAAGAAAAAGTTTATGTATAGAGGGTAGCACTGAATGTGACTAGCTAATCTTGTGAGAGGAGGTAAGTACTGTATCGGAAATCAGATTTATAGTACTTTTTTTATCCTGATATTAAGTTTTCTAAGATGTTAGGTTTGTGTTAATTTTTCTCTTTATAAAAAGATGGTTGACAGGATGTATTTATATATATATTCAATTCCTAATAGGATATGGTATTGATAACTCACAGAGGACACTTTACTTAACTTGTTAACACTTTTTGGGATCTTAAATTTCTACCTCTCACTATTTTGTCTTTTAAAACTTTGTTGACCACAATATGTTTATAGGCTTTTGGTTAACAAAATTTCTTGACAGGTATCCTTTGTTACCAAAGGTTCCCATTAGAACATATTCTTAAAAATTAAAGCTTCAAAGTACTTATAACACACATTAGTATATGAAATATTTTAAGTTTTGTTTCTCTTTCTTTAGATATAAATTAATAAGTGTTATTGTTTATCATTTCAATAATGTGTTTGGTAACATAATTTTAATGAGAAACAAAACATCAGATGAGTTTAAAAACACCAAAATAAGTATTAGAACACAAATAACTCAGTATAATGGTGTTTATTAGTTTGAAAAGGGCAAGAAAAAAAACACTGTGCTTTAGTTCTGATAAGTTGGTCATACTCATGAAAACAAATTATCTCTAAGGATTACACTAATCAAATGATGAAAGAACTCTGACTTTGAGTATACAGACAAACATGGATAGATAGATAATGGTGTTATAGCAACCAAACTTTGGATTACAGCTACATGTTTAACAAGTGAACTTAGAAATCCACCTGAGTTTAGTCACTGTAAAAACACATATATTACATACATACACACATAAATATACAGATATAGATAGATAGGGGTGGGTGGGGGTGGAAAGAACTATTAGCCTTATGACAGTAACAAATCCACCTTGAACTTTCACTTCAAAATGTCATCACAACAACCAAAGGAAAATAAGATTTTTTTGTATATATATGTAGGTCAATCTATAATTTGATCACCAAAAATTTGTTACTGAAAAAAATGTGATGATGAATCTTTTCTATAAGATATAAATCACAAAACATTTCTTAGTGAACAAAAGCATGGTGGTTTATTAGAACCTAAAGCATATCATAGCAATACATACAGGTGAACATAATAATGATGTTGGATTCGACTAGCTACCAACTTGGATTCCTCCTCCGACCACCTCATGGGTCTGCCTGGACCATGGCAAAGTGCTTTACATGGTTGTGCTTTTGCCATTTTGACTTCATAAGCAGTGTTGACTATTCTGTCCCCTCTTAGTACTTCCCCTATTAAAAACATGTTCATTCTTTTACCTTATATATAACATTTTACCAAAATAAACTATGTATTTATTTATTAACTAAAAGAAAGAAAAACGATAATCATAAACATCAGAAAATACTTTTTAAAGCAGTTTTCTGTGTAAGAATCTTGTATAAACGTTTTCCATTCACTTATTAAAGTTTGTCTGGAAATGGTTTTGATATACTAGTGCAGGCTTTCATCAGGTTAATAAAAGTCAGTGTTTGCACATACCTACAATTCAAAATATTACAATTTTTTTTCCTTTGTGTGCTGAAATATAACTTACAATAACTCTTTATATAAGCACAAAATAAAACTCAACTGAATGATCATTTCAAATTGAAATGCATGATAAATTAAACACAAGATAATTAAAAAGTAAATAGGGATTGTTAAGAAAATAGAGATACAAGTTGAATCAAAATACAAAGATTGTATTTTCAAACGTACAACTAGGGACTATAAAAAAGTAAACAAACTAGACTGGAAATAATGTCTACAATATTTTCTCAAGCTACAAGTCCCTATTTTGACTCCACTAAAATTGATAAGTACTGTAGACATGAAATCAAAATAGAGAGTCGTAGCTTGAGAAAATAATGTACACTATTTTCAGCCTAATTTGTTTACTTTTTATAGTCCCTAGATGTAGGCTTGAAAATACAACCTTCGCATTTTGATTCAATTTGTATCTGTATTTTTTTATGACCCCTATTCCACTTTTAATTGTCTTGTTTCTTAAGTTTTTATGTCCATTTATGGAGAATAAATTTTAATATATGCACTCAGTTAAATGTTACATGTTTTTCAACAGTTTACTGCTGCATTGGCTTTTTTTCCACACAAAAGTAGAGAAATGTATTATGGTAATCGTCTACTGTTAGAACACTCACTGAAATAACAGCAGAAAACCACATAGAGAGAGAAAGTACAACAATGAACTCGAGAAATAATGAAGAACAGTGAACTCAAGAGGTGATGAATTCTCAACTGGCAGTTTCCAATTAATGCGCTATAAGTTGCACAAATTATTTTATAATTAATGTGCTTTAGTAAAATACTAGGAAGTGCAGGACTTTGAAAAAATTTTCAAGGCGAAAAAATGAAGGTGCTTGAATTAATTTTAAATGTACACTGTGACATACTCAATACTGCATTAATTACTACTGTCCAGGTTTAAATAAAATATTCTTAGCCATTTTTTCTGTAGCAGCTTGTAAAACTATAATCAATAATAATTAAGCTGGAGACACTGTTATAATTATACATATTGTTTATTCTAATAAAATGGAGCATTTCCAACTAGGATAACAGTGTTTAAATGGCTTTTACTTTCTGCAATGCTTGAATGACTGCAAAGAGCTTATGTTGGTAGCAAAGAGGAAATTATAAAATTTTAGAGGGTGAAAATCTCGACTTTCATGTATCAACATAAAAATAGCCCTACAACTTTTGCAGTGTTGACTATTCTGTCCCCTCTTAGTACATGTGCGACTGGCTTTGGCGCTTGAAGGGCTTTGAAGAGAAACTTGGTCAGTAGCAATGAAAAAACTGATAAAATCTCTCCTTCTCTTTCAAGAATCAACATCGAAATAGTCCTATGACCTGTGCAGAAGTTTTTCTTTAGTAGGTTTGCCCAGGCTTGAATAAAATATTCCTAGCCATTTTTTCTGTAGGCTTGTGAAACAATAATAATAATAATTTGAAGAACAAATGGATGAATTTTGAAATTAAATGATTTAAAAATGACATTTGTGTAAAACATCTATTTACAATTAAAAGGAATACAATGTTAAAATCATTACATAAATAGTTATTAAAAACAGAGTATTGCCCTAAAAAAAGACACTACACAAGTTTCAATGTCTTATGACACCATCTTCAGTCCAAATCATGCCTTTATTTACTTTTGAAGTTGGTATCATAGGACACCAAAACATATGTAGTCTTTTTAGAGCAAGTCCCTGTTTTTGATAACTATTTATTTTGTAATGATTTTAATGATGTATTCCTTTTAATTGTAAATAAATATTGAATTTTGTCTAATAATTGGAAAATCAACTTTTTGGCTATTACTAATATTTTAGCAGCCTCAGTCATTGAGATAGAAGAGTGTTGCTTCAAGAACAAGTCTACTTTTTAAGATGGTTTTTGCCCATATGCTCTATTAGAATTTTTGTGAAATTCCTGGGTGAACCCTATTATGAACCATTATCATGGCTCATGATATTGCAAATATGTAGATTCTAACATAAAATAAGCTTATATAAAAATTTCTTAGAGCCAATAAAAAAATAAACAAGAGGGAATCCTCAATAGCCATGACACTTGAAATTCTTTTAGGCAGAATTAGAATAAATTAATCTATGAGACCTTGGACATGGTCAAATACATCAATCAAAAGGATTTCACCTCCTGGGTCAAAAACTGTAGTTAGACCTCAAACTGGTCAAGAGATGACAGAGCTAAAAGTTTGTACTGGAAAAACAAAACAAATCAGAGCCATTCTATGAGCTGCTGATCCACAGTTAAAACAAATCACAAAACCTTACTTACATTTTTTATTTTCAAACAAATGAAATGATGGCATATTTTGTATTATTTCCATATACATGTAGATACACCTGGGTCAATATTTTTTATCTTTTATCTCAACATTCTTACAACAAATGTTAGAAACTCTTATCTTGAGATTTTGTGACTTTTACATGACTAAATTATTTATATCTTCTACACAGCAAGCATAACTTCATTACTTATCTGTACAATATTATAAGAATAAAGTTTTAGAAAACTGGATCAAGGTTTACTAACTTCTAGATAATATCAGTTTTCATACAAGTATGTATGAAAACATGAGCTAACCCATTTTCACCACTTATCTCAACTTAAGAAGAATCAAATTTCAGAAAACTGTACCAAGATTTTCTGACTTGTAGATGATAGTATTATTCTTAGGACGACAGAAAGGTAAAGAATAATATTCATATGGAAGTTGGGTATGAGTGCTGGTCATCTTAACAGCTTTTACTTCAATACTCTGATCTTTAGAAAACTCCACAGGGGCTACACCTGGGAAATAAAATCCTTCAACTCTGTTCACCAAAACAAAGACCAGCATCCAGAAACATGTTAGTCTTTCTCCTTTAATCTGCATCCTTCTGGGCATTCTGTTATTAATCTGGTTTGAAAAAATCAGGTAACTCAATATTTGTCCATAATGTCTATATATATATATACTCTACTTTCCACAACGTATGTACAAGTACATTCATTTTGAAAAAATTTAATTACATTACTCTCATATCCACACACATACACAAAGGTCTATGTGTGTATATATATTATGTATATATATTTAATAATGTAAAAATTACTATATTAGAAAAAAATCTACAATACAAATTTGTTAACTGAAAGAATAGAATTTCATATTTCGAAAGAAAAACTCTTTACTCACATGAATTAAATTAGGACTTTCAAAATAAAACTGCTGAAGTTATAAGTAAAAATTCCTGTATCAGAAATTTATTTCAAATAATAATGGCTGGAGGCGGCTTGAATGGGTAATGAAGAAAAACTTTAATATAACAGCAAACGTACAACGTTTTGACAAGGTTTTGTCATCATCAGGTACCATGTCG